CTAATATAAGAGGAGGATATATAAAATCGCTGGTTTATACTGTGGTGGAGAGATATTCACCTAATTTTGATGTGATCCCGCCTCTCCACTGGTGCCCAGAAGACCTAATATCGGAGAATCACCCCATTTCCGTGTAATAATCCTTAGTCACATTGTGTACCCATCGATAGGGCGGGCTAAGCTCTTCTCGGTGGACACGTGTCGATGCTAAACTTGACCGTGTTTGGGACGAGTGTGATCGTGTGGATATCTTTGCTAGATCACAGGTCACTTGTAGGTACTCGATATGAGATACCTGGATCTCTACGAGATCGCCTTGTCCAATATGTAGATATTGATCTGCTTGACCTTCTGACCAATGAAGCCGTCTTGCGATCTCGATCACCCTTGCTTTCTTGCTGCGCCCTATCGCCGTTGTCTTAATGTTTGTGAGAGTCCTGAACGCACCTGGCCATACAATCCAGGTGCGACAATTGTATAGAGGAGCGGCGCAACTACTCTTTATTTCATCGGGAGGCTAACTGTCCGTCCCGAAAGAGGTGACGCGTTTCTTTTGTAGTAAATTGAAGTCTGATTAATCTTCGGTAACCGAATCGCTAAATCTACAACCTAGCATATCGATAATATAAGACACTCGTCACGTGTCGTCTAATGAATCCCTCTGTCTCTTCTATCGCGTAGGCTCCTAACTTATCCCCTACCCCTGACTAAGGTCGGGATCTGATCTGGAATCAAATTCCATATTTGATCGGATTTACTCTACGGTAAGATCGCCTCTTTAATTGTGTCTACTCCCGGATCGGATCCACTATACAATTCGATCCCCTCTTCAGAAGGTTCCTCTTTCAAATCGAATCCGGTAGTTGTGGTCTACCCATCCGCACTTTGTTCCTAGACCATGTGGAAAGGTAACCTTTTCTCCGTACCATTCTTACACCATTCTTTGATCCACTTCTACACCGTACGAAAAATACGATTGCGCTGACATCGCGAGTTCTGTACTATGACAGGGTCACATTGCACGGTTGCACAGAGAAATAGTGCTTTACGTAATACTAACCGCAAAATATGTCATGTGTCCTTGTCTACTTGTATGCACACACGTATCGCGGATTGAGAGTGCAGTACAAGATTAGTTTAGCTTTGTTCATATCGATGCCTATAAGCATCCAAAGCGCCCCAATGTATCTACTAACTATTTCATGGATATCTACATATCCATTGAAATCAGTGAACTACCTAAATCTTTAAATGCGCCGTCCATACCTGGCGCAAGTGATCGCGAACTACATAGCAGTACCGTAATCTTAAGATTTGATGTTTCTGCTACAGTAAGTATGCAGGTTATTAATAACAAATAAGTTATTGAGTAAGTGACGCAGCCACATCTACCGTAGCCACGCGTGACCCCTTTGTACGTAACGTACGGGTCTAAAAGCGATGTGTCTTATGCTGAACTACAAATAATTGTCTGAACTTGGAAGATAGCCTCAACCTCTTTGAGCAACATTGCCACATCGCACAATTTTTGTGAACCCAAATTGATTTTTACTCAAACGATTTAGAAGAAGCACTGGGTTACGCATGTCGTATAGCCTATATTTCCATTATAAAATCTCTAGAGCAGGTTTATCTCAGACGACTTAAACTACTGTCAATTATAATGGAAAATATTTGCGCCAAATTTTGATAGCATGTATAGCTATATGGGATGATCGGTGGCCAACTTTGCTGCCAATAATTTCTGCGCGTTTGTTTATTCTTTCATACCTTTGCAACAACAAACCATGACATATTGACTTCAAGCAATTGGTTTCGCCCCAAGTGTGATACAAAACTTGACCTTGGATGCTTATACTTTCGTGGCTGGCATCAATCGACAAATTTGCCCGTATTAAAGCGTCTATCCCGCGCTATGATACCGCTTTATAATCGATAATATACTATATCATATTATACATATAAATGGCCAGAACAGCAAGTTGTAAACCGACACAAAGTGAAAGATCTTTAAAAGTCAGGATGGATCGATCAAGAAAGTGACATCGTAATCAGAGAAATTCTTATATAGCTACATCAACGATAAACATGCGACTGGAGATCGAGATGATCAGCGAAAGAGTAATGTAGCAATTTGGATCAATAATTGACACAATGGTTAGCTACACCTGTGACAATTCGAAGAAGCGGGTGCGCAAAATAGCATACATGTGTAATCGGCCTCTTCGGTTTGTTCGAAGAATACGAAAATCATGCAGCTTCTTTTAATATTTGCCTAACTTACCGAAATGTTCAGTAATCTCTCATCTGAGCAAATGAAAGTGACATTCATCCAGACCGGCCAAAAGTTAGACTGCTGTAGGATGAAGGCAATGGTCTCAAAATAATTCTCTTATGAGAGATGTTATCTTGGAAGGAAATATGAATAGAGACCTAATTATCGTATCTTATATAGAGTCCTCACGACCAAATTATAAGAAACCATATGGGCGGTGCCAATTTACAAGAATTAGGGCAAATCTGTTATTGAAATTACCATATCTTATGCAAACTAAGTAAAATGGGGCTGGGATCTACGGTAAAGCAAGGCTATAAGCGAGATAAACTTCGTAGAAGGAGGTGTTATGGAAAGAAGGCAGATAATACAACATGAATTGTTGCACGTGTAGGAAAAATTAGAGGTCCAATTCTTTTTTTAAACGAAGTTTAAATTACAGGCTAATCAACGGAGATCAAGATTAGTTCACTACTATTATTGTATAAAAGTTAAGAATACAGGACGAATAGCAAATTGATTAGAAATTTGGATGAATACTGTTGGAATCATGACCAGAATGAGGTACCACGTATCAAAGACAAACCCTCGCGAACCTAGGGTCTAAGCTCTTGTATGATATAACTCTAATTTAAGGTCAGTTGTGCCATATCTCATCAAACCGACGGATGGATGGACGCCATCATATTGTCAATATGATTGTGGAACCTTCTATCATAATACATGACGCGTGTTTCGTAGAGCATGACCAATGGAAAAAAATCTATTGAAAATTGTGCTCAGCTAATTATTGGCTGAATATTGCTGTCGTAAAGCCCATATCTTTCTGACTGGACTTACTTGCTTTACTTGCAATATTTTTTTCTGTTGATTATCTCTTTGTTCTTCGCATTCCTTAGCTATTGGGACTCTCTCAATTTCTCTACATGTCGTCCGCTCTCCAAGTATACATGCTCCTTGAACCGATTTTGCAGTATTACCTTCGGGACTTGTTTTCTGTATCTTGACATTCTTTTGTGGCTGTATCTGGCCTGGAGCTACTAATTAGAATATGGAGGTGATTTCTTTGCTGTTACAATGGGTGGGGACACACAAAATTGTGTCCAGATTCCAGTAGCCTGCATTTTTCTCCATGCGACATCTCCTCTCAAAATAATACAACGTGCCTCTAAACGAGGTCGGCATCTAAAAAATGAAAGTCGATTGGAATCTTTCTATCGTACATGTATAGAAGCTGCAAAAAAGATACAACCGCATAAAGTCATGAATGCCCTGACCAATAACCGAGCAAATTCTGACGCGCTGATTCATCGAGGTTCAGCTTATAATATTCAGTTGTACTAAACGACCTATTGCAATACTCTTCATCAAAAGGCTTCTAATCTTTGGGTGCTTGTTCGATACTAAGTATTTATGCAGGTTGTTAGATACTTTTTTATTTTGCTTGCCGCAGGCGAATACGTATGCCTAAATTTGACTTTAGTATCCACCAAGGCCCAAATTCTCTCTGACCCAGTGTTGTACGTAAATTGCGTCGCGCTAAAAGGGATTGAAACTGATGGAGAGTGATAGTGTTGTGCTGGTCGTAACAGTTACGTTGTCTGCTCAGTATCCGTTCCGCCACATGACGAACTCAACAAGTGTGAAACCCGGGTCTTTGTTGTTGACTCAACATTTTTAACCGCTTATTTTGCCTACAATTGCGATTTATATCTGGAATTGGCGCGACATGCTAGCACTAGCGCGATTCCAAAACCATACAATTCATCTTTTCTCACATTTTCATCACATTCTCCCCTTTTTCTCAGGGCCTTTAACTGGTCGTGAGATTTTGGCTGCAATTGGCGCGATTAATGTTTATACAAAGTACCAGGTACGAACCTGTCACAAGATAAATTTTTCAAAGGTCATGAAGGTGATCAGGTTCGAGTGCAGACATATTAGAGTATCTTCGGACCTCGCACGATCGGCTGATAAGTGAAATCTTGACGATGGGACGAGGGGCTACGATCGTCATGCCAAGTTAACGAGATGTCATGACATGTGAGACAAGGACATACGGACGCCACATGGGATCAGCGTATGATGATGGGCAGAATGGACGTGCGCCATGTGCGACTTGACCTGGTCAACCTGCACTAAAGGGGAAGTGATATTGTAGTGTTGACAGAGAAGATAAGCACTGAATACATTCTACTTTACTGCTACCTTTTTTGCACGAGTGAAGTTACTACATACTTTCTACAGCTCCCCATGGATCAGCTTATTAAACGAATTTCGGATTGCCGCATGTTGTTCAATTGCAGTATTGTACATGTCACGCAAAAACGCAATCCCTGCGAGCTTATACAATCAAGTCTCATCCACAACAACATTTGCCGCTAACCTTTTCTGGAACCGCATCCGGTGTTATTCGGATATCAAAAACCGAATCAAACGCAATCGCACACTGACGACAAACAGCACGCATGGCACGGGTCCGGCAGTATGTAATACAGCTATAAAACCCTCCACAATCTAAATTCAATTGACAGCAAACCCATTGAAGAACGCAAGCGTCCTTAAAATAGCACGATAAGAAACGCGCACTTAAGGGGCCGTCAAAGTAAATAGTTGCAAATCGTTATCGTGTATGGGAGGGTTTGAAAATTCTTGCTCAGCTGCAAAGAAAAGCGCCAGCATTTGTTAAACGAAAGGCGCTTCTTGTCCACCGTAGCGCCCCCGCATGGCTCTCCACCGCAAACAGCGCGGTATCACACACGCAGCTCCACAATACGTGCGGATTCCCGCTTCCAGGTCCAGCACGTGGGCGATGAACTACTCGATGCAAGAGACTCGCACGAGTGCTAGGCGGGTCCACGCCAAGCGTTACGCGGAAGGAGACCGGTCGCGCAAAATTAGTTCGCTGCAACTGCGCGCGTGCTTCGTGCTGTGTGTGTTGCTGTATTTTGGAGCTATCTACTTTGCGGATGACATTGCGAGCATTGGTCGCGTAGTGGGCTCGAAGCAGAACGGTCAGAACTTTTTTGTCCACTCGCTGAGGCCTCGTGGGAGAAAGAGCGTACGGGTTGGTAGAGCAGTTGACGCGAATAAAGTGGGCGAGAAGAAAGTGCCAGTCCGGGATGAAGAAGGCTCAGGAAAGGACGAAATAGAACAACAGCAGAAGAATGTGGTGCTGCGCGATGTGAAACCGGAAGTTCGTAAAGTCGAGAAGACGTTGTCGGCGGCTAAAAATGAGACTGACAAGACTGCGAAGGAGCGAGTGGCGGAGCAACACCAGAAGTTTCAACATGAGACTGGGGTATTAGAACAGGGTGGCGAAAGGCAAACGAGTGCTATGCCAGAAGTTGATGCTCGCCGCAAAAAACAGGATGCGGACGCGATCGGTCAAGTTGGTACGAAAGCGCCCCTCGAATTTGTCAAAGACCTCCCGTCTGCTAAGCCAAAAACGAAAATACGTGGTTCTGTGAAGGTGGGGTCCCACAAAGACGAAGTTACGCCGCGAAAGGAAGAGAGCGTGAACACTATTTCACCCGCGACGGAGCATTTGACTCAAGACCAACCTTTGTCACCACGTGCTGTGCTCTCGAATTTGAGTGAGATCATGAGCGTGGAAGCAATGTCTCGTGTGGGTGTCACCCGTGTGAAGGAGCAGCAGATCCACGGCAGCGCTCATGATGAGCCAGTGCATCTAATTGGGCGGGAAGAATCAGAGCGGGATGTCTAGCGTTGGGCTTTGGCTGAATTATACACCAAGTATAGCAAGTGTAGTGGTCTGTTGAGGTTTCGGGAGTTGGCCACTCGCAACTGAAAGCGTCGTGGAACACACATTGATATTTAATTGATCTCACTCGTAGCATTGCGGAGTTGATTAAGAGGGCATCTCCTTTGAATTTGCGGTTTATTTGCAATGGCAAGATCTTTCGAACCCATCTTGCAGCAGACGTCACTACTTGGTCCTTCATGACACTTACTAATTGCTCGGCACAATTACTTTTTGAGCCGGCACTTGACGCAGGACATGGGTGGATAAAATATTAGCCAACAGGGTACAGAAGTGTTAGTTAGTCTATCCAGTCCATGCTGAGTTGGCGTAAGCAAACCTGCCGAAGCGGCAGCGATGTACCAAAACTGGCCCATAGTTCAGAAACGGGTTAGGTGACTCTACCCTACAATATCCAAGCTTAGTCCCTCACCATCACTGGCGCAGATCCCATGACGTGATTGCAGAGTTCATTGCGATCTCGATCAATTCGAGGCACAATGCGGCGCCCCGCTTCCACCACTCCTCCGTCCCTTGCACACGGGAGCCGCGCTGTTACTGAATCAGCGCATACGTCCTCCTTATCTTCTGTAGCGACTGCATCTGGTAAATGCCGGCACACTCGCAAATGGCTCCTTTCTTGGGTCGTCTTGGGATTTTTTGCAGCCATAGTGCTGTGCCTTCTTTCGCCGACCTTGTGGTTTAGGCGTCATTCAGCTCAGAATCTACAAGCAAAAGCAAAGGAACCACATTCTCTTTTGCGGCTGCATCAAAATGAGTCAATTGCGGGTATCGTTGACGTGGAGGCAATAGCGGAGAAAGTTAACGGGCCAAAAGAGGATACTGAAAGACTTGAGCTGGAGCGGAAGCAGGATAATAAAGTTGGAATGGTGACCGACACGCGTAAAGAAGAAGGTGGTGTGGACCTGTCGTTGAGTGGCACCGTCGATGTGGCGGATTCTGATGTAATCACTACCTCCCTTGCTGGTGCAACGCGGTCAGCATTGACCCGGACAACACCATTTGTTCCCTTGAGCTCAATCGGTGTTCAAGTCCGTGGGAAACGTAGAAAGCCGTCGATGTTGTCACAGCAGATCGAAGCGGTGCTGTCGTCTGATAAGAAGGAAGAAAGAGGGAAGGAAAGATGGGAAGAGAAGAAATTTGTTGGGAAAGACGCTACTGGGACTCGTGCGATCGCACCAACTATCGACGAGTCGATACCGCTAGTACAGCACTCACAGGGATTCACGAGCGCGCTAGAATACGTTTACTCGCACGAGTTGAGTGCGGTCAACCGATTATCTAACGCAAGTTTGGCTGGCCCCGGTGATGTAGATGATGGACACGCTACGATGATCACCAAGTTACGAAATAGTACAGCAGACCGCGATCTATGGACGTCCGAGGATTACCAGCATGAATTGCTTCGGCTAGAAGGTATCAAACGGGAAGCCATTGAAGAGTCCGATCGACTAAAGAATGTTGTCAGTGCAACCGACGAGCTCCTTTTGGAGGAAAGAGATCGCTCGGAAGATAGACGAGCGGCCAGTACAGTTGACATACGCCTCCACCAACCTCGCAAGATCTATGGAAATTTGAAATGCATGGGATGGCGCCAAACTGGACAATGTAGTCCGTATGGCAAACGCGAACCAGGTTCGGACACTGCTTGCAGGCGACGTGTTCAAGCCGGCGTTTCAGGGTACTGTGAGCTACTGGACGAGAATACTGGCGAGTCTTTTCGCGCCATGCAGCTCAATTGTTCGAGTTTGCGCGGCAACGCAATGTTTTCATGTGCAGATGCTGCCAACTTTACTAATTTCGGACCATCAGCTCAAGATGTTTACGGAAATGCTTTGGCTCAAAACAGGTCGGACCCGTCGAAGCTGTTGGGTAACAGTGGCAGCGGCGATGGGATTGTCATTGTCGTTTACCCAAAAGTATTAGCAAGTGTGTTTGCATCCGTCAACGTTTTACGGTCTCATAACTGCACACTACCGATTGAACTATGGGTGTCGCAGCCTGAAGTGATACGCGATCCAAGGATGATTACAGCTCTGGAAGTGTGGCAGCAGCGCTTTTCCAACGTGACCGTGGAGACTATTATTGACCCCAACTTTGTTAAATTTTCTACGAAAATTTACGCTATCCAACATAGCAAGTTTGAGAACGTTTTATTTCTGGATGCCGATAACATTCCCGTGCGGGACCCGACGTTCCTATTTGATAGCCAGGAATATCGCGAGCACGGTGCTATCTTTTGGCCGGATTTTTGGCACCCAGATAACACAGTTTTTAACATTCACCGCGAGTCTCTATTGTGGCAGCTAGTCGACCTTCCATTTGTCGACATGTTTGAGCAAGAGAGTGGGCAAATGCTCATTAATCGAAAGCGAGCTGCAGTAGCACTTGAGGTGCTCATGTTCTTCGCGTCTCACCGTCCAAACTATTTCAGCCGGCTGTTGCTCGCCCACGGCGACAAGGATCTATTTCGACTCGCCTGGATGAAAGCACATACGTCTTTCTATATGGTGCCGTTCCCGCCAGGCTTAGCAGGGCCTGCGAGGGACATGAACCCAAAAAGTTTTTGTGGTGTTACTATGGTCCAGTTCGACTTGGATGGCAATGTCCTATTTCTTCATCGCAACGGCAAGAAACTTGGCAGTACGGCCGATCATCAAGATTCGCCCTTCTGGACCCATTTGCTATCGCTTAAGGGGAATGTACCACTAGCAGCGGACAATCAAGAAGACGTTGCCAATCCATCGAAGCGGATGGCGGCGCAGCGCTTGCGAAGCTACAAGGACTTGAAGCAGATGTATCGGATTGCCTCCTACGCGAAAGACGCACGTGTCAGGGAGGACAAGGCTTGCTACGGCGCAAATTTCGACTCCATCGAGAACTTTGACCTGACCGAGTTTAAAGACCAACCGTTCGCTAATTTAGAGCAAGAGATAATCGCGTATGCGCGCGAAGCTTACCTTTTGATGGCGTAGTCGTAGAGCGCATGCGGACGACGACAGTCGGCCATAGTCTGACTGTAACAGATCGACATTGGCCTTTACAGCACTTTATCAGTCGTGCACCCACTTTTCAGTTGCGACCCTTAGTTTCGCATTTACCTCTCAAATACGATGACGTCATGCCGCCTGCTGCTCTTGATCCTGCGGCTGCTGCCGCTCGTATTAGGGCAGCAGTGCTCTCACTACTCCAGCGACGATCTAGTTGCTAGACTTGAGTCACGTGTGTCCAAGTGCCTGGGTCCAAGTGCTTCATCCACTGCCATCTCGACGCTGACCGAGCGCTTCGTGGCCAATGATTTCGACCGTAATGAGCCCCTGGCGCTCATGTTTTTCTCCTCGTCCAGCGATCTGATGCACTCACTGGCTGGTGCCGTCGCCTCGTCTCTATTTGGCGCTTCTCGGTCTTTTGACACTGTGCAACTCGTTGATTTCCAGACGCTGCTAACACCCTTGCGAAAAAGCAACTACGACATTAAACAGACGCTTCGATCTGCTCTTGCGACGCCGTTAAGTGCCTGCCCCGAGCGCAACCTTTTCGTCTTCGATAATCTACAAGCACTGGATGAAGGCGCTCTGCCTATATTGGACGTATTTCTTGACCCCTTGAACGGCAAGCGCGCTCAGTTTCAGCAGTACATCGAGAACACAGGCAGCCGAGTTTTTGACTGCTCGAACTCGGTGTTTCTCTTTCTTTACCAAGACACAACGAAGGAGTATTTTTCTGTGGATACAACAAGAGACCGCTTGAAATTCCTTGGCAACTGGCAAGAATATTTGATGCAGCAGTGGGCACGATCAGAAAGGAACGTGGAAGCCTTCACACCCCAGGCCTTTGTTGGTAGACTGACTGACGCCGTCGTAGTTGTTCCACCCGAACATGGCCACGTGGATATTGTCTATGAGGAGTTTAAGCAGAGTCGTGAATGGCGTCAAATGTGCGAACTACAGATTTACGCTATAGATGCAGGAAAAGATGAAGTGAAGGCTCCGACGAGAGCTACTCCGTTAGGTTTTGTCGCCGGCAATGTTGCTTCGGCAGCACCCATGATTCCTGGTGTAATCGCCATGATATTGATACCAGCTTACCTTCTACTACTCACACGTGCAAAGCGCTGGAACGGTGGCGCAGCAGAGATACGGAAGCGAGGCGCCACTCATGGACGCACCAGCTCAAGCAGCAATGCTCGGCGAAAGAAGCGAAAAACGCGCAAGTGACGATAACGACTTGTAGCAGTTAGGCTAATGGATATAATGCACAAAGCAAAGTGGGACACAGTCTGCATAATGCATTAAATTGCTTGTTAATTGGGCTGGACTTGTACGAGGTAAGCGTCGTGACAGTGACTTCGTAGCTCAAAGACGCTAATATGTTTGGAAAACTGGGTAGACATATGCAGGCCGGCACTGCAAACGGAGTCGCTATTTGACGCAGTAAGCAGGTGCAATATCTTGCAACGGTTTAGTAGGGCTCTCGTTTGTGTGACCGAAATTGCAGGTTAGCAGCAAAGATTTCCTTTCCGCTGTCATGCTGACGTACACTCTACAGCAGAGGTGCGCTTTATGACTAGCTGATGCAGGTCGCTACTGCAAGAGCTTTAATGGTACCCACATTTCATCGATATTGATACGATTGCTCCGCACGAACGTATGTCCAGAGCAGCAACCACATGTCAGTTTTTTTGAAACGGATGCTTTGACATGGGCTAATGGCATTGCGATAACTGGTCCCTTAGAGAAACCGTGTCAATGTTGCTTGGCTTTTGGATCCGAGGAACAAGTCTACATGCGTAGACAGAATTTTTCGTTTCCTTCAATATTGGAGCTAGTGCATCACGACATCATTAATCGTATGCTTCACAGCTTGCAACAGAAAAAATCCACTAGACAAATGCACGACTGTGTGCTAGAGCATATCGATTTTTAACAGCAGATTTGTCAAAAGTCGCATTCTGTCGTGCGTCATTACTCATGTTGATTTGCTTCGTCAACCTTTTTCATGCCAGTTCTCACTGGAGACCGAAGCACTGCTAGAACGGATAAGATTTTGACCTAGGAAATGAAACTGCTTACGAGTGACACATGTACATCGTTCCACAAGAGCGATGTTGTTGTCATCGTGCGCTCACATATGACAGTTCTGATCGCGATTCAAACACCTAGAAAATTGTACCAAAGTAGATTTTCTTTGTCATGGTACGATTTAAAAATGCAAAGCTAAAATATGACAATTTGTGAGTGCGTTTTACATACCTAGAAAACATTTGGTTAGTAATAATATTTGTCATTGTACGATGCAAAAATGCAAAGCCAAACAATAACATATTACCTAAGCACATTGGAAATATTGTAGTATCACATGTTTTATACCATGTTGAAAATGAAACAAAAAGGTACATATCCTATTCAATAAAAAGTATAATCCGAAAAATGGTTTTGGCTCTTGCTGAGATTGCCGCACATATGCTCAAGCGCTCAATCAGGTTTCATTAATTACAAGATTTATGTGCAAGGTGCTCGGCTCAATGAATGGAGGGGCATAAATTGACGTCGCACGGTCATGCAATGCGCAACAACGCACGTCTTATACGTAAGGGATCGTATATTATCGAACTTGGACGAGCTGTCGCCTGCTTGCGTATAGTCGTGTTCATCTCGTGTCATCATTGCGATCAAAGTATATCAAAGACAGAAAATCAGCTTCGTCTGTGATGCGGTAAATCTGCGGCAATTCATTTAGGCTCTCGTAGTTTGCACATAATGAAGCTTATCATAAAGAATAACTTGCGAAATTTGTGACAGCGATAGGTCTGGCGCTTTGTATTCGGTCTATTTTTTATCACGGAGACTTCGCTGTTGTCGGTGCGCCGTGGGACTGTATGTCGTTGCCGACACTCAAGCAAATCCACACGTTGACGTAGTCTTTTTACATGATAGGTAAACAATTTCCGGCAAGTTAGCCGAAACGCGCAGGCAGAAGCACTTTCTGTCTGTTTCCATTCATGCTAAGACAGGGCGACGAGCTAGTCGCTGGCTTGAGCGCATATGGATGTTAAATTAAACGCAGAAGGAAACGAGAATGCTTGGTGTGGCCTCAGTCACTGCTCCGACCCTTTGAGCATGGCTCGTCTCGGTAGTGGATACATCGGTGATGTCGATTCCTTTGTCCGCTCCTAAAGCTCGTTGACTCTTGTGATATTACAGATGCCAACGTAAGATGAACCTACACATCTATTGCTGTTGTCTACGCCTGCTTGATCTCCACCGCTTCAGCAGCAAAACGACGCAGTTCGGCCTCAAGTCCAGCAAAAGGCAGGTCAGTCACGTTTTGTGTGTAAAAATGCTCGGCCTTGCTCACGTTGCGCTGGCCGTAGCAGTTCTGCAATCGGGGGAAATCCGGGTAGGCATTATATGTCATAACATGGTAGTTTTCCTGCTCGTAAGTATTGTTGAACGATAGCAGGTGTGTCCACACCACTGAGTCTGGGTATCCGTCAGGCTCGGGAGCTTCCAGTGTCGGTGCTGGAATCTCCTCCGTCTGAAAAATTGACTTCATCTCCGACCAATCTGGAACCTTTTTGCCCTCTTGCCGAAACTTCTGCCGCATCTCGGTCTTTTTTTTTGACCAAGCAATTGCTCGAGACTTGTAATTCATTTGGCCTCGGAGAGACTCGCCCATGAGCTTATGCGAGTTGCGGTGCAAGAATAGAACGTTGCCTTGGGCATCATGTTGTACCATTGTCAAACCGCAGAATGTCCCATTAACGATTTTGCCTGCTATCGCCGGCGGCGTCTTAATCATGTGAAATGAAGCATCAAGCTTTAGCCACGCGAGACGGAAGAGGTCCTTGTCGCCATGGACAAGTTTCATCTGGTCGAAATAAGAAGGCTGGTAGAAGGTGTAAAACTTCACAAGCTCCAGTGCTTCTGCATGACGTCGCCGATCAATCAGAATTTGGCCACTTTCCTGCTCAAACATGTCAATAAACGGCATGTCAAGTAATTCCCACAAAATCGACTGGTTGTTGATATTGAAGATGGTGTGGCCAGGATGCCAGAAATCCGGCCAGAACACCGCTCCGTTCTCCACAAACTCCGGTGAGCTAAACAAAAAACTCGGGTCTCTCGAAGGCACGTTATCTGCATCTAGAAACAAGATGCGCTCAAAGTGACTGTTGTAAATAGCAAATACCTTCGCACGAAAGCCAGATGCATGCCGATCCATGATCTTGCGAAGAGTGATGATTGATATCTCGTTGTTCACTGCTAGTGCTTTCAGTGGCTTCATCGCATCTTGTTTATTTTCAAACTCAGTATCAAGGTACCATATTTCGATCGGCAATTGGCACTTCAGCACCTTACGCAGCGTCCAAACCGTTGCGTACGCGCTGGGCACCAACTTCGGATACACGACCATAACAACTCCATCGCGCTGGCCTTCTTTTTGCCCCTCAATGAGCTCTCCTGGTATATTTGGCAGCCTGAAGCCCGATACACGCGCATTTTCAGTCGCTTTGCGTGCCTTGTAGTGAAAATTAGTAAAGTCAGCAGCAGCGGAGCAGCCAAACTTCCTGTCCCAATGAGAGCTACTGCAATAAAGTCGCATCGCTTGTAGGTGTTCCCCTGTCTCCATGTCTTCTACTTCACAGTATCCTGACTCACCGAACGGAATCGCGTCAAAACAGCCAAGATCCTTCTCAGGATTACGTGGACCAAACGGACTACATTCGTCGGTAGCTTTCCAGCTCAAACACGTAAGGTTTCGTGGTGTTGTTTCGCCTTTCGACAGCAAGAGCGCATATGGAGCCTCGTCGTCTTCTTTCTGGAGTCGGTCATTTCTAGTCACTAGCGGAGATTCCTTTGATGCACGATCAAAGCTTAGAAATTGTGTCGACTCGGTCTTGTAAAAGAGATGCTCCTCTGCTTCCTTCCGTATCTGTCGCTTAGCGACTTCCATATCTGCATTCTTCGGAACGACAGTTACATTTCCATCGCGATCGTGCTCTGACCGCGCCTGTTCCAACTTTGCCGATTTTACGTCGATGGATATTTCACGTAAGGATCGTGCAGACCAGGAAGTTAGAAACAACACTACATACAGTACACTGCCCACTAGTAGCAATGATGCCAGCCCTGAGCGCCTACTTGGTGGCACCACACGGGTATTCAGCGACACGCTCGCAGGATGGGGCACGAGCACATTTTCATCCCCTTCCGTCTTTGTGGCACTTGATCGCATGCGGAGCAATAACGTCTGCTTCATTGGTCACAGCCGCCGCGTCCGTCAGAGTCTGCTTCGTAGTCGTGTGGTTTTGAAGTTGTGACGCACGGGTTTTGATACAGTGCCACCTTTACTGCGCAGCTCCAGAGAGATTTGGCCTTGTGGCTTTGTGCGCACGTTTTGGCCAATCGCTGCCATTGAGGATTGACTTACGCGCTTGAAGTCAGTCGCCGGGGAAAAATTGAAGCATGGACAGGCCATGCTGCCGTCAGCGTCGTATGAGTCGACGCAAATCACAAATCCTTTGAGCATCCTTACATGGTTACGCATGCTGACCTTTATTGTCCAGCTTTTTCCTTTTGAGGTGAAGCTTCATTACAGTCATCAAGTTGTATCTAACGACTTCGAAAATGCCTGGTCCTTGTATGCCTTTTTATCAGTTGGGGGCGTGTTGGTTCGTACGTAACAGCACCAGCAGACGCGCACCGTTAGGATGCGCCATCGTGCGTGGAAGCCGGGCAAGTCACGTCTAGCTGTAGCGGCCACGAAGCGATTGTCTCGGAGTAATCTAGTGTTCGATAATCTGCTACTCAGTCGGGTGAGGAGGCGATACCTGATGTTGTACTAACCTGTTCGTCATTGGGGTCTGCGCTCTCTAGCAAAAACTGTACTCTGATTTGCTTTCCAGGCGTCGTCTGGCGGTAGCCATTGTATTCAAGTACGCATTCGCTGTTTTTTTGACAATATGTTCATCGCCCACGGCGCTTTGTTGTCATGCGTAGTGCGCACTGCCAGTCCAGCTTTACGCGCAGCCACATGTCATGAGCACACCAAGAGTGAGTCCCTCCATTATGTTTGCTTACTAAATTGTAGCACGTGCGCGCATATGCACATGCGCATGCCGTGGTGGCGCGAGATGGGTATGCTTGCAATGCGTCATGGTGAAAAATGGTCGTTCCACCAGCCTGTCGTAAATTTATCCGCCTGGAATTGCGAATATCTACTACTGTATAGGAGATTTAGTTCCACACCCACCCTTTGATACGTACACACCCACCCCTGAAATAGAGGCCCCTCCATAAGTACCGTAGCCTCCCTAACTAGGTACTGCACAGTTGTACATACAAAATGCCATATACATATTCTCTGCTCTACGTACACACCCCTCCGTAATACAGGCCTCTTTTGCGTCGGCACACAACCTCGCGCATGACTTCCGCTCTCATTTTCCGGTATACCCCCAATAAGTACGCCTAATACTACCATTTCCCAAATTTAAAGATACTTTTAATTTTAAGAACATAAAATTAATGTCTTAGATAGTTGGAAAGAAAAATGCCCACGTCCCAGAGAGCACAAGTTAGTATGGTACACATAAAACCACACGTCCCTAATCGTTTTCGTTTACCATTTTACGGCCGTGACCAACCTGTTTGGGAAGCCGCGGGGAGGATTCTGCCGCGGGCGTGCTGCGCTTGCAGCCGCCAGTTGCGGGCGCAGACGCGAATGAGGACGGAAATGCGTCCTCGTGTCATCGGTCGCGGCCGTTAACACAGTATTTTGGTGCTAATGTTGTTGACACGAATGTAATTGCTTTCGTAAATGTTGTTGAAGTTGCTTTATTAATGTTGTTGCTGATGTTGCTGCTGCTTGTGTTGTTGTAAAGTGCTGTGGTTGCTGTTGTTTCTGCTCTGTTGATGACGCTACTGCTGTTACTACTACTGCTGTTGTTGTTGTTGTAGATGCTGTGGTTGCTATTGTTGTTTCTATTGTAGATATTGCTGATGCTGTTGCAGCTGCAAGATTCAGTCGTTGCAGCCGATAAGGCGCGTACACGAACTCCCGCATCACGCGCGTGCTGTTGCTCAATGAATGACTGTGTACGCATGTGTGTAGCTAGAATAAGACGAGTATGGTGCTGCTCCTACCGAGCTGTTTTTAAGACTAGTGACACGGTCTAATATAACGACGAAATTTAAGCATCTTGCACCCTGAATTGCCAGCGCCTACAGTGAGGGGTTGAGTAGGTTGCATCTTGCTCATACAAATTGCGCTGAGAATCACAACAACCAGAAACAGAAGTTGTATAGATGTGCTGCGTTGAGTTTTTTAGGATGTGGGGAATTATTTTTATTTTCCAATTATATGAGTATTTTTTATTTTCGTGAGAAAATGGGCATTTTTTATGTTCTTAAAATTAAAAGTATCTTTAAAATTGGGAAATGGTAGTATTAGGCGTACTTATTGGGGGTATGACGGAAAATGAGAGCGGAAATCATGCGCGAGGTTGTGTGCCGACGCAAAAGAGGCCTGTATTACGGAGGGGTGTGTACGTAGAGCAGAGAATATGTATATGGCTTTTTGTATGTACAACTGTGCAGTACCTAGTTAGGGAGGCTACGGTACTTATGGAGGGGCCTCTATTTCAGGGGTGGGTGTGTACGTATCAAAGGGTGGGTGCGTACCTACGAATCTCCGCTTTTTGTTGTAAAAAGTGGCTTAATTAAGATTGTAAAGCTTCGCTAGTTCAATGGTGATGCGGGGTCGTTGGTCGACATGTAGATGGCTTACTTTGGCTCAAATATGCTGCCGGGCGATTGGTTCCGATTTCTCACACAGGGCCGTCCACGGTAGAGGAAACACTAGCCTTGCTTTAAGGCACAATTTGTGAGATATGTGGGACATAAACGCAAAAGTTTAGACAAAAGTGATCGGCTCTTGAAAAATCATATATTATAAAGAAATAAATATTTTAGAGTACTTAGTTACTTTATTTGCTATATATTTATTAAACAATTAATTTACAATTTGCTTTTTTGAATTATAAAGCAAAAATAAAAAATGCCAATAAAAAAATAAAAATAAAATTTGGACCTTACTTCATGCCCTGGTTGTGCGTGGCCCACGTTTGGATCTTCGAGCAACGAGCTCTGCTTGGCTTTGCCCCGGCTTGCAAATATTTAATTGGCAAGCAATCGATGACGTCTAGCAGACGTTTCCGTTCGTATCGACAAACTGGAAAAGCAGAAGCTTTGTGTACTACCTAAATGACCACAGTTTAGTACACAATCAACTGACCGTCTTGTAGGGTCGCTCTGATCCACTCGACACGTTAACACTTCATACAAGAAAGCGATGGTGCAAAACAAATATTGATTGTGCTCATCGACTTGATGTGGTACGTGTTGTCTGCTTCAATACGACAACAAAATGAATAGGCAGCTTCAACTACTGACCGTGCATCTGCTGAACGTGATTCACTAGAATGACAGCGTTGGGCGCTATATAGCGGCAATGCGGACATTCTTGCTTCTCGTATTCTGCAGAGCTACGTACTTCAGTCAGCGGCAGGTGAGGAGGTATCGGGCTGGTCGTCACTGTCACTACAGGAACTACCGGTTCCAAGCCATATACCCTGCTGCCTCCCAACACAGCGACCGGGTCAGGCCCGTTGCTAGCATGAGCAGCCTCCACGTGAGCGACCATCGTCACAGCGTCAAGACTTACGAATGAGCAGTAAGGGCATCGACTTTCGCCAGTCGCACGAGTTGCCGCCTGATAAGCTGGATAATACGCAGCTTCAGCGATCCCATCCTGCGCGGGGTATTCCTCTTGCTCATGCCTTAAGCTACGACGTCTTCTTCGCTGACCGCAGAACTTGCGCGTCACTAACGCAATGATGATAAGCACCACAAGCGCGCCGCCGACGATAAGTGCAATTCCCCACGTAGACCAAAAAGACTTGCCGCCGCTAGTATCTGCTGATCCAGACGTAGAACCAATGGCACTGGAAGACGCCACAAAAGCAAATTTCTGATAGTCTGCCAGCAGCACACTGCGGCCATAGACTACGGCCTCAACCAAAATTTCTCCATTGTCTCCAAGTGCCGAGCTATTTGCTCTGCTACCATTTACGTTGCTGCTTCGATTGCTGCCACCTACAGTAGCGAGAAGATCTGCGTAAGACACCAGCACCATCTCAACGTTGTTTATCGAATCCCTCCCTGTGTTCGAGTCAGCTGTTAGCGGGCCAAATGTTCGGCTTCCGTTCCGAACGCGAACGATGAGATCCAGATCGTGCTGCAACTGAGATGTCGCCTGTGTCGACCCCGGTGGGTCAGTCCACACAAGGGTTGCACGCAAATCAACATCGCGAGCCACTGTAAACGAGATTACAATCTCGCCCCCGTGAGCGACTGCTGGCTCACTGTTTTCCGTCGAATTCGGCAAGAAATACAGAGACGGTAGAGCACTACTGCTGCTCCCGTTCTGGCTACGATTTCCACTGAGCATAGGAAAATCCACAATGTTTGTAAGATTTGGTTTACCATAGCCCTGGTAGACGTCTGGAAAGGTGACATCAGTGGCGTCCGAGGTTAGACTGAGACAGGACACAACACCATCAGCTGGTAATGCGGCCATCCGCTTTTGCAAGGAATCTCCGCTATGGATAATCAATGCTTTCAGCAATGAAGCAGGAACCGTACTCATGGAGAAAGCAGGATTCTTGCGGCCGTCCTTCCACCAACCATCGCGGAGCCATTCATAAAGAAGCACAGCAACGCCAGTGACCACCGGCGTGGCTTGTGACGAGCCTTGAAGTGAGCACGTAGCTACACTTTCTTGCGTTGATCCTGGCGCCTCCGATTGACTTGACGTAAGGCTCATTCCAGGTGCCACAACGTCCGGTTTCATTCTACCGTCGGTTGTTGGTCCTGCCGATGAGAACGACGCAACGGTACGCTCATTAAAGATGTCGGAGCACGCAAACTCTAGAAACGTTTCTGCAGAATTAAGGGATGCACCAACAGAGATCACATTCTTCGCACCAGATGGGGACGAAATAGTGCGCTGACCGGTAATAGTAGACTCGCCGCTATTGCCTGCCGCAACGACTACAAGCACCTCTGGATTCGCATATATAAACGCGTCCAAATCTCTGGCTTGTGAGCTGTAATCTGATCCAGGCGTGCCCCACGAAAACGAAAAAATTCTGGCGCCGACGTCAATTTGACTTTTCAATAGATCACTGGCATCCGCCGGTGTAGCGAGCGACACAGGGCAATTTAACTGTCCAGCACAGGCTTCGCTTTGCGTCCCAATGTCCATAAATGCAATTCGCGCCTTGTCGGCAATCCCTAAATTGGGATAATTGCCACTTAAAGAACTCCCGGCCAAAATTCCGGCAACGTGGGTGCCGTGGCCACAAGTGATTGTCTCCGATTCATCTGCACTATTTGCCCAGGCGTTGTACATGACCACCTTCCGAGCCGACATTACCATACCCGAAAACACATCGCGATCGTCTTGATCAAACTGATCGTGGTACAAATACAGCCCCGTATCTGTAATACCAACAATGACATCGTTCCCACGGATGCCAGCCTCTCGCGCCGAGTCCACGCCTATTAGACTTGGCACGAAAGCATCCAAGCGTCGATGGTTTTGCAACTTCATCCAACGCTCCTTCTCTTCACCGCGCAGCAGATTCTCCGTAATCTTGTGTCGTTCATCAATCCACTCAACTGACCTCGCAACTACAGCAAGAGCTAGCACATTTGTCCACGTTGCTAAATCCTCAAGCGGTTTCGTAAAAATCGATCTTGGCTGGTTTTCGTTCGTTTCAAACACATTGAGCAGGCCAAAGCTTTTCTCTGCTTGCTCTTCAAATGAAGTCAAAACGGACTGCAAATCAGCCGTCTGAACTAGTCGAATCTCCAGACCAGGTGCCGTCAGTGATACATTGTCATCCTTCGCCTGTTTTCTCATCCTGTCACTTAAATGAGCAGCGCTCCGTGCAAAAGGCATGAGCTTCAAAATCATTGGCAAATCCAGCACAACGTCCACGCACTCGAGCGCTTGAATCTTCTCCACTGTCTCGTCGTCTGCATGTACGAGCAAAACCGTATTGTCCCCCAATCGATCTCCCCTCCTGGTCAGCAACGGCATTTCCTGCGTTGCATCGACTCCCCATACATCTCGTAATGCAACGACACACTCTCGATCCCGATCAGCTTCAGCGACCAACGCCTTGAGCGTCACCAGCCGCGCTCTCGGCACAGTCTCTTGCTCTTGCTCTTCTCTGTCCAAATGCATAAAAGTTGGCAGTAGCTTATCCTGGAGAAACGCCAACTGGCACGCGTCGCTCTTCACCTTCGTGCCCTGTAGCATCGCGTCGTACGCGTGGAAAAACGCGTCATGGAATCCCTGGAACACCGCGGCTTTGTCTGCCGCCGCGAGCGTGAGTGCGAACGATAGAGCAGACTCGTTCTGCTGGACGTCCTGGCACGACAGCACGTCAATTTGTGCCGGCTGCGACTCCCCGAGGGTTTGTAGCGCGCGGTGCCGACTGCAACGCGACGTGACGCACTGCGCAGACGGCGACAGCAGCGTGGACGAGCAGTGGTAGGCGCAGAAGGCGGACGCATCGAGAAACGAGAGCGCTTCGGGCGCATCGGGCGCTGACGCAGCGCCGTGCTGAGCGAGCGCGAGCGACAGCAGCAACAGCGTCGTCCGAGTCGTCGTCGTGGTTCGGAGCGCGCCCATTCGACAACGTGACAGAACGGGTGCTCGCGTTTGACTTTGCTGTTGCCAAATGAGGACGGAAAATGTGTCGGCGCTCGTTCTATGTGACGAGAAAGAACGACTAGAGTGTCGTGTTGTGCTATGGTATTTATAGATCACGACCTGTCTGACTGTGTACGCGCTACCTTACGACCGAGGACTAGGTTAGTGTACACCTATACATCTGACCTTAGCGCGCAGTGGTTGATACGTAAAACGTATGAACGTGAGCAACAGTGTCACTTCGTCTGTTTTTTGTGCGCAGTGACGTCGCGCTATGTCAAATTTATCGCAAACGACGATGACGAAGAAAGTGCACGATTGTGAGCAGAGCCCTCCTCCATTTCTTTTCAACTCCAGGTCGATATTCAAGTGTTTAACACAATTTTCGGGCGTGATGTAATGACCTCCAGCATCTGATGTGCCGCAAAAGGGCATACAGACGGCGCCCCGCCATCCACTTTCCAAATACTTGTATGCTGGAAAGTTACGCAAAGCAGAGATTGCACGGCGTGTCCTAAAATTGTCAATCTTTGCTATCACTCAGAAGAGAAGACAGGGCTCACATATTCTTGACAAAAACTAGAACCTCTCGGCATGATTTTGAAGCATCTGGGTCTTACCACAAAAAAGGTGCAACTTTGCAAAGCAGCATTCAATATCGTCCCCAAAACACCATAAAGTGCATCATTCTAGCCGTGACTATTGTGTAAAATTGTTACCTAAACCGATTGCAACAAGAGTGGCACACTGAAAAGACAGCGTAATTTTGACTATGACACAGTATAAATAGAGGTACATTGTGGTGCAAATAGCGCATCATTTCACATTCAAAATAATTGACTTAAACCACGATTTTTCAAGTTCTGCAGAGCTCGGGTGTAGCGGAGCTACACAGCTTCTTAAGTCAGAGGAAGACTTTAACGCTCGACGAGAAACTTTGGTTCTACGAACCCGACTGAAAGAGTCAACAGCTCAAAGAGCTAAGGTTTGGTTCAAAGAACCCGACTCAAAGATTCAACAAGCTCAGAGAGCTTACGTTCCCTGTTGCGAAGGGGCTAAACGATTCAGAGAATCAACGCACAGAGTGCACAAGGAGTAGCTGCCTCAATAAGGCGTTGCTATCCCCTCAACGATCACAAGACGCCTCAAAGAGACACGTGTCTATCGGATCAAAATGGGAACTGGATTTTATTTGCTCTTTTAACCTAAAAGAACACCTTAGAACAACGTAATTACCCTACTCGCTAATGTCCCAAATAAACCTCTCAAAAGATCTCGTAATCATTGGTTGACCGACATCAGTCTTCAACAATTGATACTGTGTTCTAATAACACTTTAAAAGGGGATCCCATCCCTTGTGTGCACCACACCTATTGTCGACTACCAGTCGACGTGTAACCCCGTGATATCCGGTTTCTAACATACGCACAAGAAAAAGCTCACAAAAGCGGAGTGACAGCATTACTTGCGCATAAATTGGGAAATACAAACCCCTCGCTGGCATGGATTTCGATACTTCGGTTCTCTCCGCTCGCGTTGCATTTACAGGAGAGAACGAGTTACCACTGCTCGTCCTACGCAGAGCTTGATGGCACAATAGGTCATGTTCAAATCTTAGAATATATTCTTTTCACTTAACTGGTGTTCCTTGAACTTAGTCGAACATCAGCAGTATCACAAGGCGGCAGATCGCTCGCCTTTTTACGACTCCAGCCGCCGGACATAAATACAAAGTAGACTGGAAATGAAGAAACTTGCGTATTTATGGGCTTGCATAACGCCGCCTTTGCAGCTGCAAAGACGCATGCGATATACTGGTCATAAAATACGTATATTGAAACAAAATTAGGTGCATGCATATCCTCATGTACGTAAACGGCTTTGGAAATGGCATTACGTTCAATAATTCGAACTCAAAAGAAGGAGAAAAATTGCTCGGGGAAGGGTATTTGTAGGTGACTCGTCCTATCCATCTTAAAATCTATCTTCGATCATCGCGATATAAAAGCAATCCAGCGGATCCATTCGTAATATCATAAAAAGCGGTACAAGACGCTTAGAGGGGTAGACGATTATTAGAAAGTAAACATAATGTAAAAGAAATGCCTGTATTGAAACGCGTGCCAGAAGCTTTTCGGCCTTTCTTACCAGGGTTTTCTTCAGTTGCTTATTCAAACACAACCTTTATCTTCGTGGTGCCTAATCGAAAATATAGAAGCCAATAGAGCATTCCGTAAATGACCTATGATAGGATGAAACTTTGGAGTCGACCTACGTGCAACTTGCCCTCTCAACAACGTCTACGATAGCGCATCTTCGCAAGCAAGCACATGGTTCTTTCGAAAGGCAAAACGCTGGATCTGAATGACCTTTTGTAAACATAGCTGATTTTCGTAACAAAAAGCCCTTTCCATCACTTAACACGGTGCGACAGGCACGTAGAGAACAAGAACCAAATGCACAGTTTCTTTTGTATAATGGTAATTGAATTTAAAAGTAGATCTGCAGGTAAACCCAAGTGAGAAAAGCTGTGTGCCATACATAAAAAGTTATGCAGACCACTCATTTATATGCGATCTATTATAACTTGGTGCAAGCGTCCTCATCCTATGCGCGTAATTATCTATTTGGGATCATCTTACTTACAAAAAGTACTACTCACAAGCTTGCACTCCTCATAAAAATTTGTTTACGACAGTTTTTGGGGTATCAAAGATATAGAACGTTTGATATCGGGGCCTAGTCTACATATACTGTCAATATTTGGCATCACAAAAAGAACACATAACGTTTCAATCAGCACCGGCCGACCAAGTCGGTATACTCGACGGATCAATATGATTTACGAGTCGAAGATCGATAGGAAATCAACTGCCCAATTTACCCATTACACTTGTTAAATAAGTTTTATAAGGACGTAGATCCGCACCAGTGGCTTCCACATATAATATCCAGATCCTTATCATCCACTCGATTGCCACACGTATCAGTGTCTACAATTTATGCTAATATTTTCGAGTTATATGATTAGGGAAGAACCTATTAGGTCTTCTTAAGACATGTTCAAGTTTTTTGCAAAAATCACTCTATACCTTAGCAGTTATTGAGAGCTTTTTCACCGACCTGGTGTACACCAGCAGCAATTTCTTTACACATCTTTGACTAAAAGTTACTTGTCGTTTCATTAACTTCACATTATATCTTAAATCGTTAAAATATTGAAGCTAGGTAGCATGATCTACTGAAGTGTCGGGCTTTAAAAAATTCGCGCAATAATCTTGGTCGCCGAACACGCATGCATTTCTCAAAAGCATGTACATGTTAATATTATACTCGGACAGCATTGGGCACCGCAACGTTCCCATAATCTAACTTTCATCATCGCATAGCAGCGTCAGTATTACATTCCACTCTTTGTATGGTAAGGTTAACTATATTGCTGTCTAGCCCTCTTCTCCTCCGCTACACATATCATAAATTGTTTCGTAGATTGACATTGATTATTATCTCGCTCAGGCTACATGGTATCTTTCGATTATTTAATTACGCTCCTAGGTAGCGCATAATTTTTAGAGGCCGGTCGTGGACCTTCTGCTACGTAAAAGAAAATCGCCTCTGATCACCTGGAATGCACGACTAGAACATTAAAAAATACCTCTTTATTTCGGCATTTAATCACGTCCTCATTCATTGGCCTACGGCTGTGTGACAAAGCGGTCACAAAGAAATCTCCTTGGGACTGGAATCGGCCATTCAAAGAGTCACACGCTCCGGTTAAGCCAAGAATGCTATGATTGGTGGATACAAGCTGGGATGGGTGGCTGGTAATAGCGTACCCAATCCCCAAGTGGACAGGATTGCCCAGACTGGGATGAGTCTGTAATGTAGTCACACCCGTTGTGATTACGCAATCCGTCGTGAGACATGGCAGTACAAGGCCCTCGATCTCATTAGAAGACCGCGATACTAACCCAGGATCGCATGCCCGATCTCCAGCTGCGATCCGCTACGTAGGATCCTGATCTGCTAACAGGATCCCGATCCGATAACAGGATCCCGATCCGTTCATAGGACCCCGATCCGCTAGTAGGATCCCGATCCGCTCATAGGATCCCGATCCGCTAGTAGGATCACGAGGATATCTTGGGTGGGCCACAAGAAGATACAACGGTTGATGCACTGGGTGTGAACCACATGAATGCGAGGGGACGATCCTCCTGGAATGCCGACGCGTGCCATCTGGTTAAGATATACTGATAGACATAGGGTTCAAGTTGGTTGGTTAACATTAAACAGAGTTCAATTTACTTCACAAGGCATACGTTATCTCTTCCGGGTAGGATCTTTTCCCCCCGTCGAATAAAGAGTCACGCTATACGTCTACGCGAGTGTCACAACTGGATTGTTTTGGCCAGGTGTGTTCAAGAAATCTCAAGCAACATCAACTGCGATCGGACGCAGCAAGACACGTAAAGGCAAGGCGCAAGATTCGCGAGAAGGCTCGCGGATCAAGATACCACATAGTGGACAAGGCGATCTCGTTGAGATCAGGGTAACTTATATTAGTACCCACAAGTACCCCGTGATCGCGTGAAGATTCCCGCACGATCACAACCCCATCTCCAACACGGTCAAGTTTTCCTTCGACACGAGTCCACGTGAAAGAGTGCGACCCGCCCTACCGACGGATACACAAGGTGAGGAAGGCAGCACAAACGGAATCGGAGTAGCCCCTCCGTTAGTCGGTCATCCGGGCGCCAGTGGAGAGTTGGGATCGACTCATGAATTGAGCGATCGCCACTCCATTACAATGGTGCGCGTGCCCTGATCTTCTGGTGACTCGGAATTTCACCGTGAGTCCCTAAGTGAAGAAGTGAAAGTCATGAATGAACCTGAAATGGAAGCGTCAGAGGCAAAAGGATCGCTTCCGAAGCGTGATTTTAAATGATTCCCTGGATTTCAAAATTTTGAGAGGGGC